AATAACACAGAATTTTTAAATTTAAAAGCTGGAAAGAAACTCGAAGGTCACTGAGTTAAGCTGCCAGGTTTAAAGTGGAGGAAAGTGAGGCACAGAGAATTTACAGCATTTGACCAAATTCTCTTGCCTAAATGTGGGGAGCTCCAGGATTCCAGTCCTTGACTCCTGATCAGAGTTCTTCCTTCATATCATGTTGTCATTCAGAGTAACTTTCACCGCAGAATTTAAAAGACTTCATTTTGTATAGGATCCTTAGCACATGGACATTTTAGGAATGCATTGTTTGACAGGACATCTCATTGCATAGAGATTTCAGATCCCTCTTCTACTCTTCCATAATCTGTTAGCACAAAGTGATGCACCTGAAAGGGTGTAGGCTAGCGCTGGACAGTCACCCGGGTTATCACTACTGCCCTGCAGGTAACAGTGGAAAGCTTTTCTCCGGCTTACTGAAGTAAGGGTTTTCATTTAGTTATTTATATTACAGAACACCAAGAAACTCCACTTTTCATTACTGTCCATTTTCAGCCACTAAATCGTCTTAGGACAGCTCATAACTTATAAGTATCCATTTTTATGGGGAATAAAAGAAATAGGAAGTAGGGAATATGAGAATCCATTTTAAGTCGAGGCATTTTTTGCATATTCTAATTAGCTTAACAGCCCAATCATAAGCATTTTTAAATATCAAAGATATTGTTAGAAATTTCTAGATACCAAATATGGGAGAAAAAGCTACTAGTCTGTACTGAATAGTGGCATTTTGTTAGAGGAAAAATAAAAAACTTAAAAAATACAAGAGGATATTTTTCCTCTAGCTTATTTTTGTTCTGTTGCTCCCTCTGCTCTCTCTGAGAATCCCTTTGCTAGAAAAACGGAACTTTGAAAATGAACAACTTGGTTGTTCCTTGAAACAGTGGGTGGGGTGACAGTCATGAGAAGGCCCTTAAATAGAAGCACCACTTCCTGTGTCCTGTCCAGGGATTGATTCTCTGAATCCAGAGAAAGTGTTTTGATACTCCCTTCCTGTTTTTCTGGGTGGGGACTGGTACGGTATGGGGCCAGGGACGGGGGTGGCATGTTTTTAAATTTATCTTATTTTAATTTAAATACTTAAAAGTTTGAAGGTTTATAAAACCAACCAATCAATAGATTCAGTAACATGACAAGGTGCTTTTCTCCCAAGCTTTAGCATTTTAGGGGATTGATAGGCTGATGCTTCATTAGACCCAAGGTGCACATATTTTGTTTGTCCAATGTTATAGGCTTATTTTATTTTGCTTTCTTTTGTATTTTTTTTTAAATTTTACTTCAGCAATGTTGATTTTACTTATAAATTTTTATTGTTTCAAAAGGAATGCTCTATTCAGGAGGTCTCCCACAGACCTGAAAGCAAAATAAGTCAATTCATTCTTGGGTTATTGTTACTGACTTAGGCTCTTGGGTCCCAAAGTCATAGAAATGAACAATGCACCTTTAGTAGTAAAGCAAGAAACACTTTATTAAAAGATGAGGTAGACTTATGCATCAGGGAGTAGCTACAGGAAAGCTAGCCCCCCAAGAGGACTGTTCAAGGTCCTTTATAGGTGAAGGTGTTAAAGGGTGCAGGCCAGCATCATCATTGTGCACCTCTGGGTGGTTCATTGTGTTTTTCAAGATTGCATCATGGGTGCATGCTCAGGGCTTTGGTCCCTGCACCTATTCAGTAGGTACAAGATGATGGCATTGAAGGTCCTCTAGCAGTCACCTTGAAGCTTTGTGTGCATTTGGGAATTCCTGAAGGGGTCTTAAAGTTAATCTGTAACTTAATTTTTACAATTATAGGAAACAAGCCTTGGGGAGGGGTTTTGCAACTCAGTGATATCTGTTCCCCTCTTACGTCAGCTTATTTTGTCAGGGTAAGCGATGAGATAATCATGCCCTGGGGAGTCTCATGACTGAGGAGCAGAAAAGTAACAAAGTGTCCTCTGCAGGGAAAATGGAGTCAGTTTGGTTTACAGACCTAGCCCTATTCTGTCTCATTATGGTCTAATTGGAAGTAGCCTAAATAATAATTTTATATCATGCTTAAAATATACACCTGCACTCTGAAACTTTGACAAATAATATATACTTTTTGTATTAACATTCTAGAAATCATTTACTTTCTGTGTTCAGATTGTGAAGCTTCCCGTTTGTTTTATATCATCACAGTCATGAGTAATAATCAGTTATTCTTTGGGTGTTACTGACATTAGTTTTCACTTTATAAATATATATATATAGGCTTATATTTTTTAAAATTGCAAAATATTTGCATTAACCTTTTCACATAAATGTAATCAATATTAAAACTGGTTAAATAAAAAATGAAAACCTTTATTAGATTATTGCTTATTTATATTCATAATGTAGTTAACAACCATCATAGTACTTTCTATTAAAACAATTTTGCGTTTCTTGGACAATTAGAAAAAACACTGTGTAAATAAAAACATATTAGATTTAGTTTCTACTCTTGAAATTTTTACCATCTAATCAGTAGAGCAAAAAACACCATAAAATAATTGGAAAACATCATAGTCTTAATGTGTTCGCCATATATTTGACGTTATTGAAATTAGGTTTTTAAAATGAGTGAAGTTATTGTTCATAATGTTGGCCTAAGGCTGCCACATTCATTTCTGCCAATTGTGTTCTGTTAAAATGTCTCCCAGTGGGCAAGGGGGCTCTGCACCCATAAGCTATGAGCCCAGCAGGGGCTGTGCCTATCCAGAGGGGGATGCTCCTTTTTCTAGTTTCAGAGCAGCTTCTGCTTTTAAAGCCAGGTGCCCACAGAAGGAGTCTCTTTCAAATTGACACAATTGAGATATATGGGACAATGATGGCCTCATTATTATGGAAGTTTTCATGGATGAATTGGATTTTTTAAAAGTCCTTTATATTGGGGCTGGCCCAGGTGGCGCACTGGATAGTGCGCCGCTTGGGAAGCGCGGCGGCGCTCCCGCCCGAGGGTTCGGATCCCACATGCAGACCGGTTCCCGCTCACTGGCTGAGCGAGGCGTGGGAGGAACACCGAGGGTTGCGATCCCGTTGCCGGTCCCGGTCCAGTGCGGGGGCAACACTGAGGGTTGCGATCCGTTGCTGGACACGGAAAAAGACAAAAAGGAAAAAAAAAAAAAGTTTCTGGGGACTTCATTTTTAATTGCTGCACACTATTCTATTTACCAAGTACAGTATAATGTAAAGTACAGTAATGTAAATTTAGATTTTCCCCCAGCTTTTTGTCACAATAAATTTTGTTTAATGAACATCAGCCAACATAAATGTTTTTATTCTATACTCTGTTTATTTGAGTAAATGTCTTTATCTGAATTAGTACATGTGTTGATGCATTTATTTTGCCTATTTTGATTTCAGTTTTGATCTGCCACTTCCTACCCTTAGTCTACCTTAAAAATTGGGTGGGGGATTTTAATGAGTTTTAAAAGTTCTATTTATATAAAGGGTATTAACACTTCCCACTATTATTGAAATTATTGTCTTTGTTGCTTGCCCTTTAGTATTATGATGTGTTTTAATCCATTCCCCTATACACGGGCATTTAGGTGGCTTCCCGTTTTTCTCTTTCTTGAAAAATGCTGCAGTAAGTATCATTGCACATATTTTCATGTGCACAAAAAAAGGGACTTAAGACATGTAAATCCCAGTGCACATCAGTTACAATAGCTGACGTGGTTGTGCCCTTTTGCACTTATCCTGTAGGCAGAGCAGAGGAATTGCAATTTACTCACATCCTCAGTAATTCTTTTTGCAATTTTTGCCAGACTCATGTACGTAAAAGAGTATCTCCTTTTTTGTATGTGAATTAATATCTCATTTTGTTCTGCATTTCTCTGATAAAAAATACATTTTAGCATTTTTTCATGTGTTCATTGACCATTAAATTTTCTTGTCTGGAATTTGCCCATTTTTTCTATTCAGGGTCTTTTTTGTTTTGTTTTTTGTATATTCTGGATAGTAATCTTGTGACAGTTATATAGTTTGTCAAGGTGCTTTCTCAGTGTCTCTCTTGTCTCTTAATCCTGTTTGTTAGGTCTTTTATATTAAAAAAATATATATTGTAGGCAAATTTATCAAGCTCATCTTTTATGGTTTAAGCATTTTGTTATATTGATTAACAAGATCTTCTCCCAATGTCAAAGGATTTTCACCTATAGTTTGTTTTTGTTCTTTTTTTTTTTTTTTTTTTTTTTTTTTTTTTTCGTGACCGGTAAGGGGATCGCAACCCTTGGTGTGGTGTTGCCCGCACCGCGCTCAGCCAGTGAGCACACCGGCCATTCCTATATAGGATCCGAACCCACGGTGGGAGCGTCACTGCGCTCCCAGCACTGCAATTTTTTTTTTTTTGTCTTTTTCGTGACCGGTAAGGGGATCGCAACCCTTGGTGTGGTGTTGCCCGCACCGCGCTCAGCCAGTGAGCACACCGGCCATTCCTATATAGGATCCGAACCCACGGTGGGAGCGTCACTGCGCTCCCAGCACTGCACTCTCCCAAGTGTGCCATGGGTTCGGCCCTTCTTGTTCTTGTTCTTATAGGTTAATCCATGTACATTAAATTTTTAATTCATCAGACACTAATTTGCATAACTACTAGATGATTTTCCATTTTGAGGAAATTAAAAAGTTGAAAACAAAAGAAAAATTTGATAAGTTGTATTATAGTTTCCATTGTAAGTTCATAATTAAACCATGGAGATATTTTCAGTTTTTTATATGAGCAAAAGATATCCACATCCACCATGGTTTGTGGTAATGAAAATTATTGTCTTCCTCATTGATTTAACAGAAAATCTGTCACAGTTCATCTCCAAGAAGTCTTTGCAAAGTAGCGACTTCTAACTTGGGTTGAATACAATTTCACTTCCCATGCATTTTCAGCCCTGGTCTCCGTGCATAAGTTCAGAAGGAATAGATTGTCATTTTTAAAACAGTTAACATAGGATTCATTTTACTTTCAGCAATTCACAGAAGCTGTGAGTCCTTCAGTGTTACCCCCTTCAGCTTTGCCACTGGACCTGCTTAATAACGCTGTTACTGCCTTTAGTACCTTGGAAGATCTTATTCGGTATCTTGAACCAGATAGATGGCAGTTGGACATAGAAGATCTATATAGGCCAACTTGGCAACTTCTTGGCAAGGCTTTTGTTTTTGGAAGAAAATCCAGAGGTAAGCTCCCTCTTCAGATTAGAATCTCATTTACTTTTTTTAGCAGCTATTGTTTCAGATTCTTTTGCCACAGCTTCTAAAGGGTAGAGCTTAAAATTCTTCAGTGATGTATTCAAATAATCCATTTTCTTATTATTTGAGCATATTTATATGTTAAATAAGAATACATACAGAAGTAGGCACTTAATTAAATTACAACTCAGTGGGTTTGGAAAAATATTATTTTAAGTTTTCCATTCCATTTCACAAGAATCATTGCTTACTCAAAATTAATATTTGAAGTATATTGAATCCGTGGTTTAAGAGAAAGTATCATAGCTGCAAAAGCAGTTTTGAAGCTAGAAAAGGGGGATACTCTATAAAAACCTCTTTAACATGTCTCCTATGGGTCAGTTATATCAATTTCCATTTCCTAAGTCTGAAAACTTTTAAATAATATGAACAATAGAAATGGCCCAACATAAAATAGAATTAATAGTATCCAATGTAGGATTCGTAACAAGAAAACAATGATGGAAAGGAACATGTACAGGATAATTTTTCTTTATATAAATTTGCTTTTGAAATGATCACTTTGGTCCATATGGGCATATCTTCCTTAAAGCGATGACAATTAAACCTAATTCCACATGGTCAAGTAATTGGAAATAATGTTAAATGAGTTTTTTATATTGTTGGCTAATTTTCCTAGTAATATTAGAAATGGAAAATGTCCACATCAGACACAAATTAAAATGTAATAGAAATAACTGGATAATTATAAGGCACCCAAAAAATCTGTTTCAGTCTGTCAGAACACTGAAATCTATCCAGGGTCACTTTAGACAAAGGAATGAAGATCTGGAAAATTTATGTGGAAGCAACAGTGTTTAGTTAATTTGAGCCATTCACAAAGGCAGATTACACCAGAATTTTTCTTTTAAATCTTGTCAGAAAGAAACCTGATTCCTGCCCTTTCTCTTGCTAAGATCTGCAGCTCTTGGACCATGAGCTTTAATCACAGCAGGTCATGTTCAGACTTGCCCAACCCTGGTATTTTGCTGTGCCAACAGATGTGGTTTCCTTTTGGTGATATTTGAAATTGGTGTCCAAGTGCATGGGCAGATGCTGAAAGCTGTTACATATTTATAAAATTTGATCTGGATGAGTAACTTAATGAATAACTTAGGACCACTTCCTATCCCTCCCACTTAGGAACAGGAAGATGAAGATCTGCAAGACTAGCTGAAACACCCATGAATAGAGCCCTTGTTAGCAAATTTGAAGTAGATTATCGTGTTGATCTGTAAGAAGCAGGAGGAGTGAAACGGTTCTAAGCTCAGATCTAGCTTTTTGACCGCTGATTTCTGGATTCGAGCCTAAAACCCTCCCTTCAGCCATGCCTTGATGCCTGAATCTCTGTGCCTGGTGCTCAGAAGAAGATTCGGCCAGAGGCTAGCATGTATTTAAAAGCACCCCAACACTGAACCAGATCTTTCAGATATTCATTTAACACTTTCAAAATTGAAGCCCTTTGCAGTTTGCCAAAACTATTAACTTTTTAAGCATGCAGTAAGTGTGAGAAAAGCAGTGTATATTTTTGGAACCTTACATAAACTGAAATGCAGGTGTGGGATAACATCTATATAGACAAAGCCAACTCCCCTCTGGAGAATTTTTCTACAAAGGAACAAAAAGTAAAACTTTTAAAAGCTTCTAATTAGACATCAAAGTAGAGTTGCCACAGAGTAAACATATCAGCGTTACCACATTCGTCTTAGAAAGACCACCCTCAGATTGTATTACAGTAATAGAAAATCCTTTGACTGAATATCTTAAAAAAATGAAATAACAAAGTGAAAATTTGTTGTCAGTATTATCCTTTCTAGTAAAACTTATAAGACTGATAAAATGTGCATTAGAAATAATGATTTTGACTGGTTATGTGCTCAAAATCTTTATTCTATAGAAAAACAAACTAATGCATGTATTGTCTTAGGAGGTAATTATGAACAGGAAAAACGCTAAGTTTTATTTTACAAATATTTTGCAGAGGGAAACTTCCTCAATGCTGTAGTTAAGCTATAAAAAAACTATGCCTTGGGGCATGATCTTTCTCTTTCTTTTTTTTTTTTTCTTAGAAGTTCTGCACAATGTTTGGAGAATTTATGACATGAGATTATAGTCACGTGACTTATTTTAAAGAAGCTTATATGAATTTGAAGCTTTAAGAATAGGAAGCATAAATTTCAAATATGACATGCCAAATTTAAAATGTTTAATTGTATTTTTAGCCCACTGTGGACTTCATTAATGTTTTTCTGTTTCTTTTCTTTCCCTTTCTTCCTCTAGTTCAGAGTTTCATTCATATCTTGCTACTGCAGAAAAAAAGAAATACCATATTTTCTAAGTCAAGCTTAACTAACACTTAAAAAGGGCTTTTGACTTTTGTGTCAAACGTGATAAATGAGTGGAAGCTAGGTTGAAAGTGTGTTTAAATTTTCACATTGTAGCAGGTATCATAACTTAGTTCATGTGGGAAATCTATCTAACCTTTTATTGTGGTTAAGTAAACATTTTAAAGGGAACATATACAGTTTCATTTTCTACTCTCATGAAATAGGGTGTTTAAAACTATTTGAGGTAGGTGGATATCCTTTGAAAGCTAAGAGCTTCATTCACATTCTAAAGAAGTATAAATCTCAAATAAGCTTTGAAAATTTTGGCAACTGGCTTTTGGGTTTGTGCCTGTTTTTAAGTTTTCTCCCTCATTGCCCAGATTAACTTCTAGTGAAAAGATTCAAATAAGCTTATATGTATAGCTTTAACAACAAAAGAGAAAAGTATAAATACCCTATTAGTTCAGCAAAATCCAATCAGATAAAATATCTGACATCATTTAACCTAAAGGATCACATTAATTTTGTTAGGGATAAGTTGGTCTTTTCAAGGGACTTGAAAGAATGAACTCATTTGCTCTTAAATATTTAAAAGCTTTACTTTCACAGGATCATTTTCAGATGAAAAAGAAATATTTAAATACTCAAATGAAAGAATGATTTCCTATTGATTTGGCAAAATAATTTTTTAGCTGAATAAGGTGTTGAAATAGACCCATTGAATAAGCATTTCCTTGGTGATTTTCTATACTTGACCTAGGTTTTAGTTAATCATGGTTTGCATATGTTCATATTAATTTCAAATACGTATGCATAACTTTATAATATATTTCTTAAAAATACTTTAATTGACTCCCTTTGACAACTTAGAAAAACTTGATTACATATATAATAAAGCCAGGAAAACAAGCATTTGACTCTTAATTGCCTTGTCATTTTAAAGTTATTTAAAAAATTAGCACTTATGTTTTAAGATTGGATTATTATTTGAAGCCATCTTTAACCAGAAAATAGCTTTTCTTTTATTTCAGTTCATATTTATAATATATCTGATATTAGTGAAAAGATATCCAACTAGATATATTTTGGATAATATTGCTAAATTTCAAAAAACTTTTATTTTGGGGGGGAAAAAAAAACCTGCAGGAGGATATGTTACCTGAAACTCACCAATTTAACTGGAATTGCTTTATTTAAATATTTCTAGAGAAAAAATTGTCAGAACTATAAAGCAGAAATTAAAATTTTATTAGAGATGTTTATCAATTATTATGTAAAAATTCATGTTATATGTGACATGTTATTTTGATATAATTTTCCCAAGGCAGCATCATTTGGTAGGTAAAAAGTATAGTTTTTTGAAGCTTTACTACAACAATCTGATGAAAGGATGTTTTGTTTGGTCATCACAAGTAGGTATTTTTTTAAAGAAAGAAAACACAACATAGTTAACCAACTTGCTAAAAAGAATAGAGACAATGGTTATAAGTTGGACATTTCTTCCATCCTCTAGAAGGCAAGGATAGAAATTTGAAGGAGTCCAGTTAGTCTAAATTACAAAGACCATAAATTACTGAATCCATTTGAAGCAGTGTTTTTCAACAACTTCTTTTCCTTTAAAATGTATTATTTTTTTCACTCATGGTTCATTCAGCTGTCTTCAAAAATACATTTTCTTCATACCCTTTTTATATTTTCTGATTCTTATCGTCATAAAGATTATAGAAAGTTCTACTGACAGGTTTCAATAAGTTGTTCTTCATTCATTGTATGAGCATGTAATTCTTTTAAAACTCTTTTGTTTTTTAATCAAAGCATTCATCATTTTACATTCTCTTCCTTCCTCCAAGGCTCTCCTTGTCTACTTTTTACTAGGGTTAAAAGGTGTAGCCCCTTTTTCTCTATAAAGTTTCCTATTTATAGTTCTCAACTGTTTGGTTGGCTCTGTTCTTAATACTGCACAATGGCATCTCTTTATTAGTCACTAAGTCATAATGAAGCTTTGTTTGCTATGAAATAGTCCAATTTGTGAGCTGTATAGCCCTAAAACCTAGTGAAAATAAGAAGGGATATTGTTAAGGTTATTGTTCATGAAATAACTCGATTTCTTTACAAAAAAAAAAAAAAAAGCTTAGTGAAATACATTCAGGCTCAAAGCATGAACATCTCTTTTTCTTTGCTTTCTTTTATGCCATGTAGTGGTGGATCTGAACCTTCTAAAAGAGGAGGTAAGATTATACAGCTGCACACCTCGTAACTTCTCAGTATCCATAAGGGAAGAACTAAAGAGAACCGATACCATTTTCTGGCCAGGTTGTCTCCTGGTTAAACGCTGTGGTGGAAACTGTGCCTGTTGTCTCCACAATTGCAATGAATGTCAATGTGTCCCAAGCAAAGTTACTAAAAAATACCATGAGGTAGGTATATCATTTTCTTTTTGGTTTCCTATGGGTATTTTGTGTGTCACAACAAAACGGTGAATCTGAAGTGGATTTATGTTTGCAGAGGAGATGTAGCATTCATGGGGGAAAAAAAGGTTTATAAATAGTTTGTTTTTACTTTTAAAAATTAGAACCTTTAATTAAAAAACCCAGACATTACAGATTCTGAAAGCTTATTCTCTGGTAATAGGTCATGGGGTGGTCAGTGAAGTTTTTACTACTCATACAAAATAGGAAATGTGCTCTCCTGAGGATAAAAGATGGGCGAAGCTTTTTAGCTTTTAAATTTTTTAAAATATAAAGAGAAAATATTTTGAAGATAAGCTTGTGTATAAACCATTGTCTGCTCTGGAAAAGGAGAATTTCAATATTTGTATTTCTCTTTGAGACAATATGGGAGCATAAATCCTAAGAGAGCATATTCATCATTATATCAATCTTTTTGTTATTCCTATTGCCCCAAAGAACATGTTAAACTTTTTTATGAATTTTCACTCTTTTATCCCTTTATTCTCTGGAATTAAGGAAAATAAAATGTTAAATGTTAGTATTTATTGTTTGTTAGAACGTTAAAATTTATACATTCAAAATATTCATTAGTGCTGGAATCTGTTCAATTATATCCCACTTTCTCCTCTAGTAGCATCATGCAGCATGCATCTTGCAGAAAGCAGTCCCTTCTTGATGGGTCAACCTTAATTTCTACACAATGTTTACATTACACCAAGCCAAAATCTGTCCTACTGTCTTCATTTCAGTATGACTTCATTTCATTACTTTTATTTTTTTTCGACTAAGTGAAATAATAATACAGAATAAATACCTACTTAATAAATAAAATGATTTTTCATCTCCATAAAGACTTTAGAAAAACCCTTACTGAAGTGAAACCCTCCATCTAGGATGGAAATAGGGTCCCTATCTTCTGGGATTTAGTGTTTCTTTTCCCCACTTTATCAGCTGCCAACCTGATATTGGTAAAGTGCAAGAAAATCATGTTATATGAAGTGCGGTTTAAGAAACCATGGCTGTTTAGATTACCTAACACATGAGGGTTTCCCTGGAGTCTTTATGCCTATGAAAATTCATTTTGTTTGTTAAGTAGATATTTATTCTGTATTACTATTTTATTTAGTGGGAAAAACTTAAAGTAGTGAAATTAAGTCAGAGAGCAGATTTTGGCTTGGCATACTGTAAATGTTTTGTAAAAATTAAAGTTGACTCTTCATAAAAGGGATTGCTTACTTATATATGTATGCTTCATGATGCTGCTGGAGGTGAAAGTGGGATATAACTGAGGATATTTCAGCACTAATGAAAATTTGGGGTGTACCAGTTAACTTGTGCCTGTCAGCAGGATACTTAACCTCTCTAAAATAAGTGTAAAATATAATAATCTCTTAGGTTTTTCCTAGCTGTGCTATTCCATGACAATTGCTGGATGGAAGTCTTTTAGAAGGTAACATCTGAAACTAGCAGTCTGTGATTAAAAATAGGACTGCTTATTGTCATTGCTTATGTTCTGCTTTCATTTCCACACTACGTGCTTCTAAAGAGCCCTGAGCTGGGAAGGCAGTCTCTGCTGCAGTTTCAAGAAGTATATGGTCATAAGCACTATGGCTCCTGGCACTCCGGGCAGGTGTGTGTGCAGGCCAGCCTTATTGCTATGCCATGAAATAGGAATCTGGTCAAGAAAAAACCCCTTAATATAGTAGTTCTAAAACAACATTATAATGAAAATGCTTTAAAGGCTAGGCAGATGTTAGAGTTGCTCAGCATACCATAAAAAGCTGTGATGAGAGTGTGGGTTAAACTGGAGTGATCTTTTCCCACCTCCAATCATTTCCTTTTGAAATTTCTAAAGCAGGTACATAGTAAACAAAGTGTGTTTGGGGACCCAACTTAGCCAATAAGTCTTGCGTTTATAACCACTGTATTAAGAGCTATAAAATTCAGAGTTGACAATTTAGCTTTTTAAAGCCAGCCTATCAGATGCTTTATCCATACCTGTTAAGTCAGTCCCCAGGTCAAGCATATCCTTCTCCATCCTATACTTGTAAATTTCTTTTCAAATAACATTAGTTTTAGGATTATCTAAAAGGTGCCACAGAGTATGCAATATCTGTTTTCAAACCTCAGATGAAATTCTTGTTTGAAGCAAGGCTATGGGTAATACCTGCAGACTCAGTGGCTTTCTCCCAGAATGACATGAATCCATTATTCCTCAGTCTTTGGGTGGGGTTGATTATGTATACTTCATATATAGGTACACACATACATACACATACAACAGTGGATGTTTATCTAATAATATCATAATTATCTGATGATTTGTTTCTCACAAATATCTCTAATGTGTGAGTGTGTAGAAATATAATTACACACTTAACTAGTCTATATTTTTCACAAATATTTCTAATAACAATGGTGTCCTAAATTTTTTAAATGCTGTATGGCAAACATTAATTTTTCTATGATAATATTTTTGTTAAATTACCCTATGGAAAAAAGAATATTGGTTTGGCATGATTCGTAATTTCTGACACCTAAATTTTTCTCATTCCTATATCTTGGAAGTCAGTTCTGATTCTAGTACTACTCTTAAATGATGTTATTTTTTAAATGTAACTTAAAATTGATATAAAATGACTATATAATTGAATACTATTAATCTGGACCTAGAGACTTAACTCATTAAAAGAGAAGTCTATCTTGGACTTTAATTCTTTTTGATGATGATGGTTCCAATTTTTAGTCTGAAGATTATTCCACCTCATGGAGAAGGCAGAAACAAAGAGCTGCAAATATAATTTTGAATTATTCTCTCTTTCGGTTTCCTATAGCATTTTTGCTGGGCTTTTTTTTAACCATTGTGAGTATCAAAAATAAGTCTAGAAAATTAAAAGGCTCATAAAATATAAGATAATGTTGTTATTATCATAATGTTATTAATAATAAAATAGTATTTTACCATAGTAATGTTATTAATAAGACTCTTACTGCTTTTGTGTCAATCACCAGCTGTCTTTTTTGGAAGACATATTAGCCAAAGAAACATATTTCCTTAATAATTTCTTTATTTCCCAAATATGAATTTTCAGAAAACTTCACGTTTTCATATAGACGTCACCTGTTCCTTGAAACATTTTTAGTGTCCTACCAGTCCTAGCATAATTAATTCATCCATAGTGCATGTGTAGAACTTTAAAGATATCTCTATTAGAGAACTTTTAGTATTTCAAAATTATTGTTTTTTCATTGTTGTTTCTATGTAATTGAGAGTTAAAGAAAATAAAGATTACATTACAATGTAGTGCTTGAGAACACAAACTCCAAAGCTAGACAGCCCAGGTTTGAATCTAACATTCATTAGCCGTGTGACTTAGAGCAAATTACTTAAACCCCCTGTGCCTCAGTTTCCTCATCTATAAGGTGACTTTCCAACCCTCATATTTTATTGTGAGGATTCAATGAGTTGATATTTACAAAACACTTAGAACAAGGTCTGGCACGTTTCAAGCCCTTAACATACATTAGCGATTCTCTCACTCATCTTTTTTTTTTTTCCTCTGTGCCTAGTCTATTCTTCAATTATTATAAATGATCAGTAAAGATTTAATGAATTTTGCCCAGAGGAAGGAAGGATTTTTTTTTGGCCAAAAGATCTACAGAATATTCTGACAATAGTAACATATTTGTTCCTTTTCTCCATTCTTAATGAACCTAATGACTTTCATCTTGTGTATATCCTTATATATTTTATTTCTCTTTTCATAACACAAAGTATAGTCTTATTTTTCTTACAATAGATCTGTTTGTTTTGGAAAAAAATGTATACCACTTAATTGCCTTATTCTAGTAATGAATCCTATCCCCCAGCACTCTATGGTTCCCAAAATTTTGAGATCATTTTGTTTGCACATGTTGAACAGTGGTACATGAGCACGTGTTCCTTGATAGTTCTTTCTGAGTCTGATCTATTCTCTTTTGCAGTCTCTGGTTTTAACTTTCATCTGGACATTCTTTTTCATGGATTCATAATTTTAATTTGAAATTCTTCTTTAAATTTTGAGATGTATTTCACTTTATTTCTTTTCTGCTGTCATAATTCATGCCCCGAAAACCAGATTTTCCTCTTTAATATTATCTCAGACCTGCTGGTCATTTTCTAAGTCTCCTTTTCTCTTTCAAAGTCAAAACTTTAAAAAGGAATTAAAAAGGAAAACACTAATAATGCCCCCCCACCATGTATTAGAATTTCCTACCCAAGACTTGAAAATTACTAGAAAATTATGAGATTCTTCTGCCACTTGTAAATCTCTACAAGCATCAGCAGGTGAAGACGGGGCTTTTTATTCAGCAAATGCAGGTTAGCATAAACATACAGGGAGAAGCAAGGATTGCAGCCTGGCCTGACTGTTTGGACTGTACATGGTGGCCTCTCTAACCTTTACCTTTCATAGTAATTTTTCTTTCCTTGCTGAATGGGAAAATGCATACAGGCAGAGATAGGAATTGAGATTTTGGTTATGCCAATATTGCAATTTATCTTACTCATTCAACCTCATTCCAGAAACAATTTGTAGCAAGAGTGTGATAAGGAATAGCATCACTATCCTCAGTGTAATTAGTGTTGCCTCCCTAGGTTGTTCAGAAACAGTAAGTCAGTACTGACATAAAATCATAATCAGTAGTCATTGGATTAAGTGTCATATTAAAGTAATATGGTTTTCACAATTTTTATTCTAGAATTGTGAAATGTAATAGGTAGGAAAATCTACTTTAAAAGTTTATTCTTTCAGATAGTTACTACAAGACTTTGAAGTTTATCCCTCTAGGAAGAAAGTTAATAAATATGAGTAGTAATATTCTGAGCCTTTATGAAATTATTATCTATCATTCTAAATTTAATAATTAATATTTGGCCTAGGTACAAATAATGGCTATGTCACTTATTCTCTCTATGCTTCTGTTCACTCATGTGTAAAACAGGGTAATAATTGCATAGAATTCTTGGATGTAAAAGCATTATTATTGTGCCTGGCATGCAATAAGCATTCAGAAATGTTAGCTAATTAGCCTCTGATATAACCTCATACTCCAGATGAGGTATGCATTCTCTATTTTTCTTATTTTAAGTATTCAAATACAATAGTCGCAAGACTTGACTTGTGCCTTTTTGGATTAATAACAATTTCCAGAAATTCTAGCTTCTATAGGTTGCTCTAGAAGTTATGAATGTCATACCCAGGAAGCAGAGAAACTAGACAACTTCATGTTGTTATGTGCTCTGGTCTTTGCTCAAAATGCGAACAAAAGACAATTTCTGAAACTTTATCATTTTTATTTTTAAAAATAAAATGTAATACACTTGCCTAGGTAGCTATTATTGAATACTTCAGGTAATCTTTCATAGAACACAGAGCTGTATCTTTTTTGTCACAGTATTAAAAGGAAATACATTTAGTCTTGTTGTCTATTTTGCTTTCTTTTATACATTTTATTAAAAATCTCGACAATCCAAACTACAGCTAACTTCATTTAATAGAGACATTATTATTATTATTGCCAAACCTCCTTACCCTGCACAGTAGGATCCCAGCTGCAGAAAGTTAGCTGTGACTAAGGCTGATGTCTATGAAGTACATCTAATCCATCTCATCAGGTTTATAGAGGACTTGAATAGTAGCCAAGAAAATTAATGAGTGGCATAATTGAGCAGACTCAGCTGTGGAGTGATCATGTTTCTTTCCACAGTATTCCTGTACTTGAGTGTATTGCTTCAAGTATAAATATTTGTTAAATGTGTGAATAAATGAATGACTGAAGGGCCGGCCCGGTGGCGCACTGCTACAGTGCGCCGCTTGGGAAGCGCGGCGGCGCTCCCGCCGAGGGTTTGGATCCCACATACAGACCGGTTCCCGCTCACTGGCTGAGCGAGGGGCGGGCGCAGCACGAAGGTTGCGATCCCGTTGCCGGTCCCGGTCCGGTGCGGGCGCGACACTGAGGGTTGCGGTCCGTTGCCGGACACGAGAAAAGACAAAAAAAAAAATGAATGACTGAAATAAACCAACAAACAGAAAAATGAATTGTGCATTACTGATTCCAAAATACTGAAGGTAATATTCTCTCTAGTATAGTTAGAAAGTGAAATAAAGAGTACATAGTGAATCTTTCAACTTAAGGGCTGTTCTTTATTCTGAGAAAGTGTGCTCTCAAATTGTTGGCATTAAAGTGTCCTTTCTTTCATGAAATAATGATGATAGTGTATGATTTTTTTTTTTTTTTTTTATTGAGGGAAAGTTTTCATAATGTCTTCACTAGGGAAAAATAAAAAATTTTAAGTCTTTGTTTGGGCCCAGACATTCTTTGCTGAAATGTTTCTTGTCCACAAAATAAAAAAGTTATCAACATTGGTTAATTTTAAAGGTGACTTACATTGTTCCCTTTCAGGTCCTTCAGTTAAGACCAAAGATTGGTGTCCGGGGATTGCATAAGTCGCTGACTGATGTGGCCCTGGAGCACCACGAGGAGTGTGACTGTGTGTGCAGAGGGAGCACTGGCGGGTAACTGCTGACCACCGGCAGCCTTTCCCGGAGCTGTGCAGTGCCGCGCGGATTCTGTTAGAGACCTGATGCATGATCTCCATCCGTAATCTGAGTTGTTCACTTCCAGGATCTTTCATCTTCAGGATTTACTGTGCATTCTAAACGAGGAGACCCCAAATGGAATTAGGAGTTGTTCAACAGCTCTTTTGAGAGGAGGCCCAAAGGACAGGAGTAAAGGTCTTCAATCATGGAAACAAATTAAATGTTGTAGGTCACTAGCTAGTTACAGAGTTACCTTGTACCTATTCCACTAGTTGCCTTCTGTATTTCAGTTGTCTTACTATGGCTTAGGCTAATGTCACTACAGGAAAAAACTGTGCGAGTGAGCACCTGATTCTGTTGCCTTGTTTAACTCTAAAAATCCATGTTCTGGGCCTAAAATTACAGAAAATCTGGAATTTTTTCCTTATATTCACATATATAAACCAGAATGTTCTATGTTCTACAAACTTGGTTTTTAAAAAGGAACTATGTTGCCATGAATCAAACTTGTGTCATGCTGATAAGAAAGACTGGATTTTCCATATTTCTTATTAAAATTTCTGCCATTTAGAAGAAGAAAACTACATTCATGGTTTGGAAGAGACAAACCTGAAAAGAAGAGTGACCTTATCTTCACTTTATCTATAAGTTGGTTTATTTGTTTTATTGTGTACATTTTTACATTCTCCTTTTGACATTATAACTGTTGGCTTTTCTAATCTTGTTAAAGATATCTATTTTTACCAAAGGTATTTAATATTCTTTTTTTATGACAACCTAGATCAACTATTTTTAGCTTGGTAAAGTTTTCTAAACAGAATTGTTATAGCCAGAGGAAACAAGATGATAAAAAATATTGTTGCTCTGACAAAAATACATGTATTTTATTCTCGTATGGTGCTAGAGCTTAGATTAACCTGCATTTTAAAATATTGACATGAGAAATCAATAGAACTGGTAAGTTGCAAAGACTTTTTGAAAATAAATTATGATGTCTTCCACCCCTGTTATTGGAGATGCAAATAAAAAAGCAACATATGAAAGTAGACATTCAGATCCAGTCATTACTAGCCTAACCCTTTTCTGGGGAAATATGAGCCTAGCTCAGAAAAACATAAAGCACCTTGAAAAAAAAGAAAGACTTGACAGCTTCCTGACAAAGCGTGCTATGCTGTGCTGTAGGAACACATCCTATTTATTGTGATGTTATGGTTTTATTATCTTTAAACTCTGTTCCATACACTTGTATAAATACATGGATATTTTTATGTACAGAAGTATATATCCTTTAACCAGTTCACTTATTGTACTCTGTAGCAATTGAAAAGAAAATCAGTAAAATACTTCGCTTGTAAAATGCTTGATATTCTGCCTAGGTTATGTGGTGACTATTTGGATTAAAAATGTATTAAAACATCAAATAAAAAAATGTGGCTATTTTGGGGAGAAATTAAGCATATGTGTGTATGTGCAAGATTTATCACTTGAACTCCAAGAAAATGAAAGTGATACAGTGTTGTGTTACCATGATTTTCATTATGCAAAAGCATATGTCAATTCAAAAGCCAGGTAGAAAAGGCAGCATTTCTGTTAAGACTTTCTGCCTCTCCTTTCCAGTGCCTTTGAGCAGTGGTTTTCTTTTCCTCACTGGATTTAATACTGATTTCTGGTATATTAAATTGCATGTGACTTAAAAGTTGTGTGTAATTTATGGATGCTTAGTGATAGGTTGTATGGAAGTATGGAACTGGAAAAAACAACTTAAAACTTTCCACTCGTGTCTTTATTTTCAATGGTAACTATTAAATAGGGTGAGCATAAGCGGATTTGCTAGATAGATTAAAGTGTTTTGCATAGCACACTTCAAGGTGTGGTTTCTCAATTCCAGACATAGATTTCTATTCAGGGCTGGTATCTTCAGCACCTTTCCTCCTCAATGGTAACTATTAAATAGGGTGAGCATAAGCGGATTTGCTAGATAGATTAAAGTGTTTTACATAGCACACTTCAAGGTGTGGTTTCTCAATTCCAGACATAGATTTCTATTCAGGGCTGGTATCTTCAGCACCTTTCCTCTGTCTTCATCTTACTGGAGATGTCTACTGCCCGGAGCCAGAAGTCCTCAGACTCCTCTTCCAGGCAGTGCCTGTTCTTTGTACTATTACATCTTGCAGTTCTTCCCTGGCCCCAACCACATGAAAAACAAATAAACAAAATGATCATATGTGTTCTTATTTCATTACATTTTTGTAGTTTTGTCCCAGCCCTATAGATGCCCACTAGATGTAGCCTAACTGCTCCACAAAAAATGCAAAGCAGTTGGCAATTTACAGCTCTCATTAGAAGACTCTTAAATCTTACAGCAAATGACCTGTTTGTGTTTAATCCAGCATTTCCAACCGTTGAATGGAATGCCTTCTTTCCCTTTTACTTTTAGAATTTATTTTTTGTTTACTTATAAAATGTTGACAACCAAAATAAATTCCTCTATAAAGGTAGCAATCCCACACACTATTGACAGTCAGTGAGTAGAAAAGGTGTGAAGACCAACTGCTTTATAACCATTTACTCATAGATCTTACTGTATGTTCCATTTATAAAATAAAACCCATTAATAGCACGTGTGACCCTAATTTCTCAGAAGTCCAGGAAGTATTGACTGTATTGACCACCCACTGTTTTGTATATATCTGTGATTCATGCCTTTAACCCTGAGCAATGGACTGTTTTGCCTTGTGATGTTTATTAAAATAAAAGAGCAAGCCTTAATTGTCATGAGGCAGGTGTTCATGCCTAGATTTTTCATTTCTACATCTCCTTTCTACATTTCCTCCTCATCTTATAATCCTTCAATGCACTTTGAAAAGGTACAAAGAACAAAGTAGTGAGAATCTACATTGTGAGAAGCCTGCTGGCATGACTTAGTAATCCTCAGTGCACCACTCCCTCCAGGAGCATTGATTTATGCTTTGATTTGTTTTAAGGAAAGGCAGAAAATACAAGCTTTACACTTTGTGTAATATCTTTATCTCCAAAAGGTTAATGTAATATTCTTATCATTTTGATATTTCAGTCTATTTTAATTATGTATTATAAACAGTTAAAAATTATAAATATCATTTTTATTTTCATTCATAAGGAGTAGGACAATTGAAAATATAGTAGATGTCTTAGTTCAGGCTGCTATAACAAAATATCATAAACTGGGAAGCTTATAAACAACAGAAATTTATTCTTGGTTCTGGAGGCATGAAGTCTGAGATCAGGGTGCCCTCATGGTTCGGTTCTGGTGAGGGTCCTCTTGCAGGGTACAGTCTCTTTTTTGTATCTTCACATGGTGGAAAAGAGGGTGAGAAAGCTATCTGGGGACCCTTTTATAAGTGCATGATCTCATTCATGAGGTTGCTATCCTCAGGACCTAATTACCTCTCAAAGGTTCCACTTAATACCATCATATTGAAGGTTAGGATTTCAACATATGACTTAGGGGAGAGGGATACAAGCATTCGGTCCACTGTAGTAGATGACTTGCTTTATATCCTATTTTCCCACCATGCTGTATATGTAGTCAATCACCAAGTCCATTGACTTTGTCTTTTCGATCTCTCTGGTATTTGTGTCTACCTCTCCATTTCTGTAGCTGCTGTTCTAATTTAGCCTCTCATCATGCCTCACCCCCACTATGTCACGACAACCTCATTTTTTTGGTCTGCCTGCCCCTGGTCTCACTCCCCTCTGATCCATCCTCCCCTAGCAGACAGGTCTTTCAGACAAATCTTATTATGTCACTTGGGTGGAAATTTTACAATGGAACTCCACGAGATTAAATTTTAATCTTTGTATGGTGCACAGAATCCTTTACATATAATTGTTCATCACTTTCTGCTCATTTAGCACCATCAAGCCTAACATACAGCTTTAGTGAATACTTGTGGTTTTTCTGAAAGTACCAATATTCCTTCACAATTCTATGCTGGCACATGCTTTGTTCTTTGCAGCACAGTTCCTACACTTACCTATCTCAGTAACTTGCTCTCAAGTCTACTAAAATGTTAATTATATGCTTTTGTACTCTGCCTCAGAAAGCATTTGTTTACCTACCACACCAGACACATTTTTTTTTTAAACTGCTAAGCTATTATGGTAAATCTTATTCACTATAAATCTATATCAAATTTTTTTTTTTTTTCCATTTTGTCTTTTTCCGTGTCCAGCAACGGATCGCAACCCTCAGTGTCGCCCCCGTACCGGACTAGGACCGGCAACAGGATCGCAACCCTCGGTGTTGCGCCCGCACCTTGCTCAGCCAGTGAGCGGGAACCGGTCTGTATGTGGGATCCAAACCCTCGGCGGGAGTGCCACCGCGCTTCCCAAGCGGCGCACTATAGCAGTGCGCCACCGGGCCGGCCCAATCTATATCAAATTTTAAAATGAGATTTAACATTTTGGTAGGAGGTATTTATTTTAAGACTGATAACTTTATCATTTAAAAAAAAATTATATGTGCAATCACAGCTGTCTGTTTTATAGAAATTGATGAGCTGATCCTAATATTCATACATAACTGCAAGAGTCCCAAAATACCCCCCAAAAATATTTAAAAAGGGCGCAGAGTTAGAAAATTGACACTTCCCTATTTCCAAGAATTACTACAAAGCTACAGAAATAGTGTGGTAAAGTTAATAAAGTTAGACACACAGATCACAGGAAACATGGCAGACTAATGGATACAAAACTGTGCTATCTACCCTAAGTGAATCATTGTACAGAATATGCATGTATTGGGGCCGGCCTGGTGGTGCACTGCTACAGTGCGCCGCTTGGGAGCGCGGCAGCGCTCCCGCCGAGGGTTTGGATCCCACATACAGACCGGTTCCCGCTCACTGGCTGAGCAAGGTGCGGGCGCAACACCGAGGGTTGCGATCCTGTTGCCGGTCACGAAAAAAGACTAAAAGGAAAAAAAAAAAAAAAAAAGAATATGCATGTATTGAAAGAACATATTGTACCCCACAAATATATACAAATAAATGTAAAAATATTTTGAGAAAATAAAAATAAAAAATACAGTTAGACACAGATCAATTGAATAGATTTGAGAATTCATAAATAAACCTTTGGATTTATAGGCTATTGATTTTTGACAGGCTGCCAAGACAGGTCAATGGTGAGAGAATAGTCTTTTTGACAAACGGTGTTGGAATAACTGGATGTCCACATGCAAAAGAAGGAATTTGGATCCTTTTCTCATACCACATACAAAAATTAACAAAAAATGAATCAAAACCTATAAGAGATAAAACTATGAAACTCTTAAGAAGATTTATAGAAAAATTTTTCATTACCTTGGATTAGGTAATAGTTTTCAGATACAACACCAAAAGCACAAGTGAGCAAAAAATAGATAAACAGGACATCATCAAATTAAATGCTTTGTGCTTCAATGGGTGTCATAACAAAAATGAAAAGAGAACCCACATAATGAGAGAAAATATTTGCAAGTCATAGATTAGGGTCTTGTATAAGAATATATAAAGAACTCTTACAAATCAATGATAAAAAGACAATTGAAAAAGGAGCAAAGGTCTTTAATAGACATTTCTCAAAGAAAAATATACAAATGGCCAATGCACACATAAAATAATAATCAACATCATTAGCCATTGGGGAAATGCAAATGAAAATCACAGTGAGATACTACCAACTAAAATAGCTAGAATTAAAAAGACAATAACAAGTGTTAGTGAGGAGGTGAAGAAATTGAAATCCTTACATATTGCTGGTGAGATTGTAAAACATTGCATCCACTTTGGAAAAGTTATACAGTTCTTCAAAAAGATAAACATAAAGCTAAATATAACTCAGCAATTCCACTCCTATATACATACCCAATAGAGTTGAAAATTCTGCACACAGATGTTCATAGCAACATTTTTCACAACTGCCAAAAAGTGGAAACCACCCAAATATCCATCAATTGATAAATGGATAAAGTGTGATATAACCATACAATGAAATATTACTAGGCAATAAAAAGGAATAAAGTACTGATAGAATCTACAGCATGGGTGAACCCTGAAAACATGCTGGGTAGAAGAAGCCATTCACAAAAGGCCATGTTTTGTATGATTTCATTTATATGAAATGTTCAGGACAGACAAATTGATAGACTCAGAAAATAGATTAGTGTTTGCCAGGGGCTGGGGGAAGAAGGTAAATGGGAAATGACTTCTAATGGGTATGGGTTTTCTTTTTAGACTTATAAAAATATTCTGAAATGACATACTGTTGATGGCTGTAAAATTGTGTGAACATACTAAAAACCTCAGAATTATACACTTTAAAAGGGTGAATTTGGGGGCATATAAATTGTATGTAAGTAAAGCTTTTAAAAACATTATTGGTATATATAATGCAATATTTAAGAACTAAAGCCTCTCCTTCCCCACCTTCCCCAAGACAAGGAATAAAGTAAAAACAAAACAAACAAAAATTATAATATTCTATCACCCTAGTGCACATCATTTCTATTTGCTTTCTATGCATATATGTGTGTAGGTAAATACATGGACGATGTGATTGAATTACTGGTCTCATTTCTGTCCCCTATGGTTAGTAATTGACACTTGCACCTTTGTCATAGCCTAATAGTGGTTGGAGTATGTTTTCCCACTTCTTGAATTTCGTCTTTGCCATATGTCTTGCTTTCACCAAAGAGATAAAAGTGCCTGTGATGTGTGCTAAGGCTTCAAATGTACTTGCATAGGTGGGTTTGCTCTCTTTGACTCCTGCCATCACCATAAGAAGAATACACTCCCTGAGAGTTTGCTGGTCCAAAAAGACACTTGGTGCAGATCTAAATCCAGTCCATGCCATGAAGTCAAGTCCATCTAAGTCTAGCTGAGAAATTAATGCTTCTTGTTGGAAGCCACTGAAATGGTGAGGGTGTTTGTTCTGCAGCATTATTTGGCAATGGTTGAGTAGGTATTATTTCATTTAACATAGGATCATATCATACATGCTATTTTTTTAGTGAAACTATTTTATACATATACCTTTACATGAAACTTATGGACAATAAAAATGAAACCAAGCAAGAAAAAACATGAACTTTGGAAAATATTTTATCAATACAAGATATAGCTTTTTAAACAATTCCACTAAAGTTATGAAAAAATGTTATTGAAAACTTCAACAGCATAGAACCATTTGCTAAGCACTTCTTTTTAGTTCAGTCAGTGTTCATTTGCTGCTAAGAAGAAGAAATATGCCCTATGACAACTTAATCTACCTCCTTGACTGTTGCTTTGCCTCCCACTGATTTGTCACCCCTTTTCCCTTGGGTGACGGAGCTGCCAAAGATTCCTCAAAGCCCATCTCTTCTGAGCAATGAGAAGCCCCCAAAAGGGGTTAATCTCCTGGAACCCTCAGGAGAGAGGCATTCCTTCCATTTGGGAAATTAACCATGAATCGGGGTTCTCTTCCTGCATTTATTCTCCAGACTAGGAAGTTCCAGGAAGAGAACATAGGCGGGGTTTTTGCTAAGTACCATTTAACAAGTTTAACAATAGAAGCTGGTAACATTCAGTAAGGTGACATTGTATAATACAATTAAGTTGATCCACTAACAAAAACTTGATTTTAGCAAACATTCTCTTCTTCCAGCAATTTCCCAGTATCTTTACATATCAATCAGTAACCTGTCTGTCTTTGAGCCAGCAACCTCGCTGTGTTACAATTCTTTATCTTACAACAGAGACTATATAGCCTGGGGAAAATTT